TAAACTAAGCAAACGTGCCTTGCACGTTGCTTGCACCTAGTGTATATATATATATATATATATATATATATGAAAATGTTTTACGGGTTTCTTACTATTAAATGGCAGTGCCGGTCACGCGAGAAGGATAAGAGCGAACCATCTAAATTATCTAATGGGCGCCAATTTCCAATTGATCCCTAATCTATTGATTAAATAGTATTTAGTCCTTAACATTTTGCCCTTGGTTGGTGGCCTTTAATTTAATTTAATTCTTATACTCATTTTCAACCATATATTCACATAATAAAAGAATTTACACTTAAATCTAAGTTTTTTTCACACATTTTAACTATACGTCCATTAAAAAATACTATTTAAAACATATTTTTTTTTCAAATTAAAGACCACTAAACAGGGGCTTTGTAAATAATAAATTAATGATTTGCCTTTAATTATAGTTATTCATCGAGTTTCTAACGTGATAAAGATTTACAAATGAATGTACAAAATTAGTTTAATTCAAAGATTTAATGTTTCCATTAAATCATACGAGAAATTTGAAATGAGACTTATTTTTGCAACCATGTCACGAAAAATCACTGAAATTCGTGAAAAATATCATTATTAGAAACCAAATTGTGCCATTTTATTGTAAGGTTGAAGATCAATTAACTCCTTTATAACGGTTGAGGACTAAGATGATACTCAGTCAATAGATCAGGCACAAGTCTTACAATTTCCCCACTAAATGAATCACTTCCCAATCGTGCCATTGGCCATTGCTGGCCTTAGCCGCCATTTGCCTTGCCTTTATTTCGGCTCTCACTTTATAAATGCGTAATGTGTATATACACACACCGCAACTCTTCAGTCTTTAACGCATTTTTTGATCGCTAGAGAAAGGTGAACGGCAGAGAAACAGAAGGATTCCAAGAATAAACAAGCAGCTGAACGAGAGAAAAATAAAACAAAACTAAGAACAAATCAGGTATACTAAACGTATAAATATTTATACGTATTTATCTGAAGTACAGTTTTCTGTCCAAACGTTTATCATTTGTTTGAATTTCCCTTGCTGTTTCTTAAATTTTTTGGTATTTTGGACAGTCAATTCGTAGTCCACTTTTTACCACTCTATGTACGCCGACCGATCTGTGTAACAGTTACTTTTTGCTAGTGGTATTGGAAACAGCTAAAAGAGGTATGAGTTAATATCATAGTTAATTCTGCAATTTTTTGATAAATAGATTGATCTTTATACTGTTGCATTCGGGACAATTCATAATAGAAGATTCCTAATCTACAAAAGTGTTTTACTTGTTTGGTTCTTTATATCTTCACATATATATCTATAAATGGAATAGGTGTATCTTATCCTTTTGATTGGTTGTTCCTTTTTAAAGTGAAGGGCTCCTTCTGAGAGTTTTGGAGGCTAGAGATTTATGTCGGCAAGGTCTGATTTGGCTGTTGTGTTTGAGGCTCAATTGAAGCTCTGTTCTCGTGTTTCTTCCTCTGTTTTCTGCATGAGACAATACCTCTTCGGTGCACTCCAGGACAGTCTTAACCTTTTCTTTCCAACTGTTTCGATGCGTTTGAGGCTTAAAAGGTACCATTTCTCCCTTAAATCTTCATGGGGTTTTGTGGGTTTTTAAAGTTGATATGAAATGAGAATTGATTGTGCTAATTTTTTTGTGTTCTGTGTTTGCAGGACTTGTTCAGGGGTGGAGTGTTTTGGAGGATTTCACACAAATCGATTATCAAATTTTTTCTTCTTCATCAGAGGCCCTCTTACTTGACACCTTTAAAATTTTGATTTTCTTGAAGCAATTTACTTGATTTTCTTTGAAAAGACAATTCTGTGGTGTTGGGTGATTTAAAGCAAGATAATGATGCCGGGGCCTCGGAGATTAGGTCTAGTGAATCAAGAAACTGTAGGTAAAAAACTGTGTAACCGAGTAGAACCCACTAGATCCATGAAGAAAGTCCGGATCATCTGCAGTGACCCGGATGCTACCGACTCATCGGATGATGAAAGAGTCGGCCCGATGAAGGTTAAGCATATTGTTCATGAAATTTGTTTTCCAATTGGGGACTCTTTTCCCCAGCCCGAAGCCCCTGAAACAAAAACTTCTGGTCAGGATAGCAACAATTCTGCGAAAAACCCCAAGAGGAACAGGGTTTTGGGTCTAAATGCGAGCAATTCGAGCTCCATTCCGGGGAAATGCAGAGGTGTTCGACAGCGTAAGTGGGGCAAATGGGCTGCAGAAATTCGTGATCCATATAAAGGAAGAAGGATTTGGTTGGGTACGTATGATACTGCTGAAGCAGCATCGAGGGCATATGAAATGAAAAGACTAGAATTTGATGCTTTGGCTAAGGCTAATAGCATCGAGTCTTCAGAGAAAAGTTCAGATTATAATAGCAGAAATAATGGTATCAGGATGGTTTCCAATCTGGTTAGTAAGCATAATCAAAATCATGGTGTCATTTGTCTCTCTAATGATTCAAGTGGAACCATGGCATCCCTTGCTTCACAGACTTCAAAGACGTCTCCATCTTCAGTTCTAGAAATGGATTATTTGACTTCAGCTTCTGCTTTCAGTTGCAAGTGTGATGATGATAAGAAGGTCCATAATGTTAATGCTTCTGAGCAGAACGAGGCTAATTGGGGATTAACAGACGAAGATGTTTCATTGCTGCTGCAATTTGTAGAAGGGATGGACTTAGATTTGGAACTTGAATCGCTACCATTGGAGTGTGATTCCGGGATACCAATTGATGATGACCTTCTCAGTGGTTTTCAAGATCTTCCAATCTGTGGGTTGGAAGATTGTGATCAACCTCCATTGCCTGATTTTGACTTCAATTTCGACTGTGGTTGGATGGATGAAGTACCAACCCTCTTGAATGGGTCACCATTCAATATGCCATTCCCGTAAGTTTGGCATCCAAGTTATAAAATGAATGTGAAGAATGTTAGTTCAAGAACTTGGAAAATAAGTTCTTAAGATGCTTTGAGTGAGTATTTGTTTGTTTAAAGTGGTTTAAACTTAAGTGTTTGTTGGTTCAGATTGGTTCTGGATCTTATTCATCCCTTTGTTTCTCTATTTTGTTCTAATATGCTAGTATTTTTAGTTTTTATGTCTTGGACTTGATTGAATTTCTATGAATTGAAAGGAGAATGTTTTTGGAAAAAGATACTTGTGGCCTTGCCAAGTAGGGAGGGTTCAATATTTTTATGCTTGTTTGGAAGTTGTTGACTGCGAAATTTGAAATCAGCTTGTAGCGTGTGGATTTTTGTGTTCTACAAATTGAACAGCTTGATCAGTCTTTATGGACTCAGTTGCTATACAGGCTCTGATGCTCAAGTTAGAATTGTATATTGTTTGTGGACAAAGTGAGAATTCTCTCTTATTAATAGAAATTCATTTCATGGTGATGCTATGTAATGATGGGGTTCTTGTTATTTCGTTACTATTTATCTGCAACTTTAATGTCTAATTTAGCGAATATTGATTGTACTAATCCGAAAGTCGGTGAGCATTTGAGCAATCACAAGTAGTCTCAAAATATGTAAGATCGAACCCCATCAGTAAAAAATGGTAATTAAACTGATAGAATTCTATCCATAGAAATGTATTGAACATGTGTCGAGCTATAACTCAGCTGTGCTTATAATCTGATTTGGCGGCTAGTGACTTGGAAATCACTATCTTTGGATTGAGACATTTCAATTATTTAAGTGGGACAACATTTTCATAGACTGTTTAATTGATGTGCACACTTGGTATCACCTAAAAGACAATGATAAATTGCTTATTGGGGTTGAGAGTAAGCAAATTTACTTTTCGAGTAATTTTTTATTTTTAAGTATATTGAATGGGTTTATTAGGTATCAGTAGAAAAGTAATTTCTTAGAAACTAGTAGTAGATAAATACTATAAATAATTATTAGCTTAGCGAAATATTCATGTTAATGATCGTTTTCTATTTGAGATGCCGTGTCCTCCAAATTTTATTAAAATATTTGACACTTTCAATTGTACTCTTTGAGTTAATTAAATGCACAATCTTTGCTGACTCTCTCTTCATTGGTCCAACTACAACGTGGTGGTTGATCCTGCTAACTTAAGTATTTTTCAAGAGTAAAGCTGCTTGAACAGCGCCTACGTGGTCCTGTTCAAGTAGCAGCACCCATTTTTCAATGTTGTCCAAAGATTAAAGAGAACATATTTACTTTTTTTAGTTTTTTGGTTGACTAATTACCTAACATATGCGTATTATAGGCAGGGGAGGGGACAATATGAATACTGTTTCTTGGATACTATTTTGAAAGAACCTTCCTTCGCATTTTGGTGGGCATAAGCGAAGGTTTTGGGGCTCAAAACTGTAAGGAAATCATTTTGCTATGCAAAGAGATGTTAGTTATGCTTCCATTGTGGATTACACTTCTTCAAGTCAACGGAATAACTTCTTATATTGTCCAATCTAACATACCAAAAATGTTAATAGAATGTTAGTGAGAATATCGAAGATATTACATCTTTATTGTTGGAATTTTAGCAAGTATTCGGGACAGAACTTGATAACAGAATAGGACAATTTTGAAAGATATCTGTAACTTTAAAGAAACCCCTTCTCTTGGAAACTCTTAATGCAGTCGTCAAACATTTGATCCAGTGTTCTCAAAGGAGGAAGCCCCAACTTAATAATCTTGCTACTGTCCATGCTATGTGGATTGTTATCTCCTTCTTGGCTACTGCACCTGCCAAAATTAAAACGAAAATATTTCATTCAGTAAAAACTGGTACTCCGAGCATGCTTTCTCAGGGACAGTTCAATTTGGTAACGTAAAATATTTGCTTACTTGTTTTCGTAAGGATAGGATGGATACTTGGCTTTTAGCATCTCAATTATCTCTGACCAATGTGCCACTGAGCTCGAGCATACGAGCCTTCCTGATGCGTTGTTTTCCTCCATCGCTAAAATATGTGCAGACACAACATCGTCTATGTGCACAAACCCTACAGTAGTATTTGGATATTCTCCTTTGTGGCCTAACAATAAGTATAATCAGTGCACAAATCGTCCATACAAAATAACATAATTGCAATATCAATATATTCTTGTGGATTGAGCTAAATTCACACAAGCTTTTCATTTCAAGAAAGAATCGACCAACATACAGCTCAACTTATCTGCCTTTTGTTTTTCAAAATCTCATTCTCAGCGATAAATTTGTTCAGCTGATAATATGTAGCAATATATGGCACGAGAATAAATGTTTAAACCTGTAATGACAGCCAATATCAGTAGAAGTGTACTGGTTGGTTGAGGTGCAAGCAGAGGACCAACAACAAATGAAGGGTTCACCACCACTAGATCAATCCCACTTTTCTCTGCCATTTTCCAAGCTTCTTGTTCTGCTATAGTTTTTGCATAAGCATACCACAGCTACAAAGCAAGAATTTCACGATGTTTTAGCAACCAATTTACATGCAATGAATAAATCATTATTCAAAATATAACAGAGCTAGAAACATGTTACATTGTAGTCTTTACAGTAATTTGGATCACTCCAATGAGATTCATTAAGCGGGCAAACTTGTTGGACATCATATCGGTATCTTATTGAAGAGCAGGAAGAAGTTAGTACAACCCTTTTCAAATTGGTTGCTTTCTTGCAGGAGTTTAGCACATTCACGGTTCCCTTTATGCATGGATCAATCAGATTTTCCTGCAAGATATACAGAGGTCACAATTCTATAAACAAGTTCGGATACATCACTCTTATGCTCGCTAAGTAGTATATTTTGTTTTCTCATAGCATGATTACTGCTAAAATATGTCTGTAATTACAATTCATTTGTCTATCTTCAAACAAAGGTTGGACTGAGATTGATGCAGTCATTTAAATCCTGCCATTCTTAAACTTAATCTTGGACAGAGCAAGCAGCATGCCTATTATATAGTTCTGACAGGAAACTCTAGGGGTTAAATGGGTCTTCTTCAATTGATCTCGAATTGATTATATTTCATTTATGCAATACTGATTTGTTGCTATTAGGGAATTCATGCCAAGTAATTCTTTTCAAATGAATTGATGTTACTAGTTTAGGTAACATTTAGACTAGTTGAGTCTCATTCATATCTTGTTCTACACCATTCAGCATCTTTGATTATCATAACAGGAGCCAACTGAAATTTTAATAGGATGCTTGTGCTCTTGAGCTTCAAACGGTTCACACAAATGTAATCTCGTAAAACTTCCATTTTCTCTAATTATTTGGAAAGATTGAGTTTCTTGAAGTCACTTGCCTGGACATTATTATCGTAGGGAACGAGCACTGGAGAAGCAGTGTGGAACACTCCATCCACTCCCTCTACGGCTTCGTCAAAGCTTCCCTCCAACAGCAAGTCAGCTTTCATAATCTTAAGTCTATCCTCGGCTCCATTCAGCTCCCTTAGAAAGCCAACTTTTTCTACATTTTCTGTTAAGAGAAAACATGAGTAGCAGAGCTGCAATCCCGATTTACTTATTGCATGAGTCATCCATCTAAAAGGTTAAGTTATTAAGTACAGAAATTGCAGGACAACAAATTTGTTTCTTCATAAAAACCTCTTACATGGGATTTTCACAAAGTTGACACGGCGAGGCTCAAACTTAGAATCCTTACCTGTTTCGATACTGTATTGAATAATTACCTCAATTAAAACCTTAAATTGTTAGACATTGTAAAACTTTTACTATCATTGTCACCAGTTAAATTGTATGTTAGTACAAGTTATCAAACCAACTATTCTTAAAAACTGTTAATAGACAATAGAAGCATGTGTAAATCTACAACATGAAGGCCATTAAATCAATCGGTCATCGCCTGTAAGTACTTCGATCAAGAAAGTGAATACATCTGAGGGCTCTTGAAGACAAAATTGAAGTAAATAAACAGGCTTAGCTTAAACAAAATTGAAACACTGTTCCATAATCTCCCTTAGCAGCTGTTCTTCTTAGAGCTCAATAAAATCTTAGCAATTGAAGTGTAAAATGAAATTATGCAGCAAAAATGAGATTTTGGATGGTAAAATTGAAAATTTACCGGGATCTCTTACTGTGGTCCTTACTCTGTGACCCCTTTCCAGAAGGGACTTAACCAGATAAGCTGCTATAAACCCTGTGCCCCCAGTTACACAGTATTCCGGCATTTTCTCCCTATCTTCTTTCTCTATGAATCATTTTTACAAGGTTTATACACTTATATATACACACATATATCTGTAGATACCGAGCAAATAATTATTTGGAAAAAGGGGGAAAATTAGGTCATTTGTTATGTCTTTCACCTTTATGTCAATTTCGTTGTAATTTAATATTTTGAAGTTGAAAGAACGTGGCAGCTTCATGTTCAATGCATTGTAGGTTATTTTAGTGATAATGCGTTTTAGTGTGAGGGATTCATGTGAATATAATGTTTTCCTTCTTAAAAATGATATACAAGTTGCAGTTTCAAAAATTATAGGTCTATTTGCAATTTTTTTATCCCCAAAAAATATGGTTAAAAATGAGTTTTAAAAAATCTTTATGAAATATGGGCTTTGTCTCATATAGAGTGTCTGATTAATAATTGAGGAAATTATATGGAATCAGAATTTTCAACTTAACATTTCAAAAATCAGATTCAAAAAAAATTTTTTTTTTACACAAATCAGATGATAATTAAACATTAAAATATTAATAATAATATTTTAAAACTAAATTANATATTAAAATCCAGGTGCAAAGTGACAAAAAAAAAAAAAAGGAAGGGGGAGAAGAAGAAGTTATACTTTAAGTCCAATTCAAAAATTCATTTTAGCCCAGGTAACCTGAGTCCTAATCCTAGCCCAATGTCCAATTACCCAAAGTTAGTTATTGACTTCATAAACATTACATATTCATTTCATTCACATTCATACAAGAGGAAATTATTGAACCAGAATTTTCAACTTAACATTTCAAAAATCAGATTCAAAATTTATTTGTACAAAAATCAGATAATAATTAAACATTAAAATATTAGTAATAATATTTTAAAACTAAATTAATCTAATGCCAACCACTATTCCACAAACCCAATTATTTTCCTCCCTCCCTTCGCTCTCTACAGCGTCGGCGAGACTGAAGACACGAGCAGTGTCGATGGCGTCGGTGTCGACTGCGTCGTTATCTAGAGTAAGAAGATCTGAGGGGCGGGTGTGGTGTGGTGTGGTGTGGTGTTGATTTTATTTGTGGTGGTGGTGAGTAGAGGTCGTGGCTGTGATGGTGGCGGTAGACGATGGGGAAGGTGGCGATGGCAGCGATTTTCTCATCTCCTCTCCTTTCTCTCTTCACTACCAACTCTATAATTTCAAATCCAAACCTACTAAGACACTCACCTCGCCAGCTTCAGATCGTCGCTGCAATGACACTAGCCGTGGTTTTGGGGGTGGTTTCCTCTTGTCGAGTTTTTTGCAGCCGTCAATAGTCTAGATGGGATGATCCCATATTCATTCGAGCAGCTAAGGAACTGGAAACTCTCGCTTTGTCTGATAATGAAATTTATG